TAATAAATAAATAAATAAATATAATTAATTTTTACGAGAAAAGAATGTAAAAAACAAAATAAGTGAATTGTTAAGAAAATTAAATTATTTTAATAAAATTAAAGATAATCATATATATGTGTATTTAAATTTATATCTGTCTATTATATCTTTTTAGTTTGTTTGTAAAATAATTTTTTATTTCAAAAAGAAAAATTAATCGAATGTACCGGTGTATTGAATATTATTGCAATGGCTTCTTTCAGCTCGCCGAGGGGAAATACGACGTGCAGATCACGCTAGCAAAACCGTTAGATTATGAGAGGAGGAACTCGTACTTGATTAATCTACTGGCTGTCGACGGAGCTAGCGATCCATCAAAAAGATTGCAGGCTAGAGCGACCGTTGCCGTTGACGTTCTCGACGTTCAGGTAAGTAGGTCTCGATCGTCACTGAAATAGCCGGTACATAATTGGCTATGGTCTTACATTGAATAATAACATCGTTTGCGATAAAATTAGCAGAGAATCATCAACTAGTTATTCAATTTCTGCCTGTCAGCATGAATATTGTCAAGTGGAGATTTAGGTCACACCTCGCGAGTAACGTTTAGAGCTTATTTGCGCTAAAGTAACGTGTGTCTCTCAGTTTTATTTCTGTGTCACATTCTTCGCGCTATTGGATATATTTAATGTTTCAATCTTATTGACCTGCTTTTTATTAATTCTTAAATTAAAAAAAAAATATGTTAAATTCAATTTATAGATGTATAAGAAAAATAAATAAAGTTTAATTGATTATTAAATAGTATAAAATAAAACTGCGAGACTAATTATTTCAGCGATTTCATGTCAATTTCCACGATATAATAATGATGCTAAATTGACAGATGCTGCCAGATTTATAGAAACAAAATTTTCTCTTTGAAGCGTTATTATTATTCTTACTTATTCGGCAAAATTTGTCGCGCAGGATCAGCCACCCGTTTTCCTGAATGCGCCTTATAGCGCGGCGCTTCCGGAGAACACCCCAGCTAGTCACACGGTTCTGATAGTGCGAGCTCGCGACGGCGACACGGGCCAATCTAGGAATTTGCTATTAACGTTGGAAGACGAGAATGCGGGCCACTTTGATCTCGAGATGTCCCGCGACGGTGATGTAACCGTCGGCAAGCTGGTGACGACCAACGTGTCTCTCGATCGTGAGGATCCCAGGATCTTGCAAAATGGTGGTATTTACACTTTCCAAGTCAGGGCTACCGAGCTAATCAACAACGAGATACCGGCTGACACTGCGACGTCGATCGTCACGATTGTTGTCACGGACGTAGACGACCTCGTGCCCGTTTTCAATGAGGATTACTTCAGCATCAAGATCTCCGAAGACATCGGAAAGGACACTCCTCTACCAGGTCATTAAGTTGCCTAAAAATCGTGTCGGTCTAACTAGTTATAATGTCAAATGCTTGAAAAAAATTGTCAATCTTTTTATGATATTTTTTCATTATCAATTTGTTATTTTTTTCATTATCTTTCTTATCTTTCTTCCTCTTTTTTTTCTGCAATGCTTCGAATAAAATTAAATAGAAAGCTTTTTCTTCGTAGCGAGAACGTTTCTACATTATATACATATATATATATATATCTTTCTTCCTCTTTTTTTTCTGCAATGCTTCGAATAAAATTAAATAGAAAGCTTTTTCTTCGTAGCGAGAACGTTTCTACATTTGGTACATTATATACATATATCCTATATAATATTGATCCATGATGTGTGTGTATTATTATATACTAACTACTTTCTTTTAAGAGATTCCTGGGAATCGAAAATTTCTACTATTTCTTGAAATAACAAACTTTTACGATAGGATGTCAGCGTAAAACGTGTCGGCGATAATGAAGCGTAATCGAAGTGATGCGTAACGTATAACTGTGCTGTGCAACCTGTCCTCTATCATTCGCGTTCCACTGACCCACTGCACTTCGGCCTTAGGTATGTTGCACAGAGTGGTTAATATTGCCTACATGTATGTACAAGATGTTCTGCCGCAATCAGTTCTCTTGTTAACGATAGATTCTTCCGTGACGACTTTTCCGTAGAAAAACTTTTTAAAGAAGTTTTATTTGTGTGCGACTTAATTCGATAAAAAACTAAATGACAATCTAATCTAAGATTTCATTATCAGGATATTTAACCATTAATGTCTCAATCATTACAATCATTATTGTTTTGTATAATCGATGATAAAAGACAATTAATCTTTCGACGAAATTGCTACTGATTATGTTATATTACTAAACGTGTATTAGTTCTTCTCTTTATATTATTTCTATTATAATATTACGTTATAAAATGCAGATTCGTTAACGCGCAAGAATCAATAATATTATAGAACGTTGATGTATATATCTATATTTTCCCGATGTCTGAAAGTAATGTCAAATATTCTTTCTATATACGCGAGGCACAAGCGGAAAGGAGCAATGTACTGTTCGGCGCACTGAATTTCATGCATTCCGATATTCATGAAGAATGATCTAATTAAGATGACTTGCTAATTTGTAACTATCTTGCAATCATTGCACTCGGAATACTGGAATTTAATCAACAACATCCTGAAACACACTTCAATTATAAATCGCATGTTGAGAAACTGCGAATTATATCAAAACATGCTTCTAATAAAGTAGTGTTGCTATACCATTATACATTTAGATTTGCGGTAACTGACCGTGTTTAACATTTTTTACCGTTAGAGCTTCCGGAAAATATGAAAAGTAATAAACACTATTATATCATTTTCTTTCACAAAAGCAAAAGTTATAATGAAAGAAAGTGTAAAATAAAAATATATGCAGTATTTCAGAAAGTGTTTTCTCACACAACACATACACATGGTTGAAGGTGCTTGATTAAATTTTCATGAAGAGAAAAAGTAAATACAAAATTAATTAATTAAAAGATTTACATATAGATTTAGATCAAACGATAAATCAAGAAACGTACCATGTACGTTTGCGATACGGTTTCGAAATTTTCACTAACTGCATGTAGTTTACATCGTAATAATCGTAGGTCAGAGTAGAGATAGTCTAGATAGCTGCATGAAATGTTCCAAACTTTCTCCCAATTAAGAGTTCTCTAAAAAATCTAAAGCGCGTTTTGTAAAGCAAAGATATCAACCGCTTTTACTTTAAACATATATATTATTTTCAAATAAAGTAACTTATTTTACACTCAAGAAGTAATATTTCTCTTAAACATTTTAATTAAGCAAGAATATATCGACAAATTAGATTTCTTATTAGAAGAAAAACGATTTATTTTTAAAGTAAACACTCGTCACGAGAGTCCTCACTGTTCATGAAAATATTGAGCGTCGGAGAAAAAAGAATTAATTAATATCCAAAAGACAATTGTAAGAATTTTAATGAAATCATAGTAAAAAGATAGAATTTACTTCTTGCCGGCGCGACTTCGCAAAGATTTAACATGAAGTACGGTATCGCGCCCCTAATCGACTACACGGAACTACCATGAATGTAACGATCAACGATAACTTTGCGGTTTAGTTTGCTTCTTGTTTATCAAGGTAATGAGAAGATACGTCGACTCCTTGAACGTGACAGAGTTATGGTGCGATACGGCAGCTCTTACTTTGATATGATTTAAGCGTAAACAATAATCATTGGATAAGATCTGTAGTATTTTGACCATAATACTGGAAACCACCGAGAAAGCAAAGATATTGTTTTAAACGTAAACGTAAAATTTTTAACATGAAAAATTTTTGATTATGTAATCTTCAATAAAATAATTAACAACATAATATTTTGTAATAAATTTTATCTAGATTTTTCAATAGAAACGTAATTTATGTTCAAAATTATTAATATTTTTATTAGAAAGAAAATAATTGTGTTTCAAATTTTTTAGATGATTGATAGTTAGAAGAAAATATGTAATTAATATTGCTAAGATTTTAAGTGTTAAAGATAAAAAATTAAAGTCCTGTTTTTTTTCAATTTTTTCCCTATAAATTCTATTTTAATATATTATATTATAGAATTTTTTTAGATAAATAAAATACATTTCTAAAACAATTTATATGGTCTCATCTTGTACGTAATATTAAGTTCAATTACTTTACATTTAATTAATATTCTAAACGCTAATAGGTGCATATGATCAATTTCGCCAACAACATATAACTTATTCACAGGATGAATTTAATAATTTTCTTTTTACAGCTATAAAATAAGACATAGGGGAATTTATTTCACCAATAAGTCATCTGTTGTTGGTGAAACTAATTGTAAGTATTACTCAGTAATGTATAACATATAATTTAAAATGCATTCTAAACATTTAATAAATTATTGTACATCATTTGTAAAATAACGAAGAAATTGATATAAATTTCGTTATTTTTTTAGCGCTTGAATAGTTTCTCCACGGAGAAACTGTTTGTCTTATGTCTACCATTTTTCTTCACCAATTAACGTGACTTGCGTATGTTTATTCAAGCGATGCTGGAATTAGCTAAATATTTCGTGGCAATCAATTGACGCTAAATTTTGATTATCTTTACAGAATAATAAGTAATTAAGAAAGTTGACGAGTGAACAATGGCAATTTATAATTCGTACTGCAACCTTGTTTCGGTCTGATTGTCGACATAAATCCCGCGCGTATCTAATAACAAGTTATCATTAGTCGCGGTTAAAAATTACGGTTTGTAATAAATTAATCAGATTACCACTCAAAAGAGTTACGCAAGAGCGAGCCTGGTTGCTGCTTAACATTTTAAGATTAATAAAATTACCACTCTAAAGTTTTTAAATGACTGACGTAATAAAAATAGCGGTAGCGTAATAAAAAAAAATCAAGATAGAAATACATATTATAAAAGAAGTGATGCCGAAACTTTCAAGCGCGGTAGATTTCTAGCTTTCAATGTCAAACTTATCGAAACTGTCTATCATTAACTATCGTATTATATAAAGAATGTAGTAACTCACCGTGCCTGAGTTTTCCTTTCTTAGAGATTAGCAAGGATAACGGCCTCGGCACTTTTTCGGTACAAATAGTGTCAATGTTGTCAGTCCTCACACCAAAAAGGGCGTTCCTGCCGACTTTCATGTACTGCCTGCCCATCGCTTTCGGGGACCCAGTCCCAAACAAGGATGCGATAAACTTCATCTTCGATTTTCGATTAATTCACAAATCGTGCAGAAGAATTTTCTCTTGAGCTCGTTGATTGATAAAAAATATTGATCTCACCCAAAAAGACACTGATCAGATGGTTCTACACCAATTAGTCCGAACCAATCACGTCACTTTTATTAACCTTAATTTTAGCTGTCTGCAATTTATTTAATTAATAATGTTTCTTGGAAATAATATTAAACAATGTTTATTAATCGCACTTTTATTCAGACCGGCTCTCAATAATCCTCGAACGGTCGATACTCTTCGATTGATGAATAAACTATCAACCTCAGTTGAATAAAAGTGGATTATATAATCCAGAGAGAGATAATTAATCACTTTACGCTCTGATTGGCGATTGAGTGCGCGTTGATCCAGAATTGCGTCTAGAGGGGATCATCATCATCATCATCATCATCTGGCGTTACTGCCCCGAGCATTGTTCTCGCTGTAAGTGCGTACCTGCGTCGTCATTATCGCCGTCGTTATCATCAATATCGCCTCGTCGTCGTCGTGTCGATAGCGCGGTTTCGACAGGTACCACCACACCACGTGTCCCTCGCGTTCGTATTACGCACTGGACTTTCACGCCTGGTCCAGGTGGGACGCGCGTTACCCCGGCTTCACTTTCACTCGTCGTGATCTCGTCGTTGGTCCTTTATTCTTGCCTTTTGCCTGAAATGCGAAACCAAAACGTGATTAAAAAGAGAAGGTAGAAGCAAAAAAGAAATCGGCCAGGCCAATCGCCACCGAAAAAATACAACGAAGAGCAAACCATGATATACACATTTCGCGACGTAACCGACTGTTTGCCATCAAACATACATTACGTAACTGCAAAATATGCATTTATGTGAAAATCTTTTTCATCGCAACTTTGTTGTGTCAATATTAAAATCGTTTGATCAAAATTGTGAAAATATCGCCGAATTTGCATTTTTGCAACAAGTACAACAATCTGTTAGCCGCATTTTTCTTACGAACACTATAATGTAAAAATCGATACCGCACATAAAAATGGAATATTGTATCAAATTATGTGTGTAAAATTTGTGTAAAATATTATGTAAAAAAAACTTGCACATTGCTTCCTCATCATTTTATCTTACAAAGCTTAAGCTGCTTTAAGCATGCAGATTTTTCAATTTTTGCTTCCTCATAGAGGAAGCTTTGTGAAATATCTCAAATTTTCTAAAAGTTACAGCGTGTACAGATATTTCTCAAAAAATCCAAAATTTTATAAAAAATGAACCTTTTCACCGATACTCACCAAATTCAGTACCAACCATCCTTTAATAATACTCTATTCATGTAAAAAAATTTAATCCGATATCTCAAATTTTCTGAAAGTTACAGCGTGTACAGACATTTCTCAAAAAATTCAAAATTTTATAAAAAGATGAACCCTTTCACCGATACTCACCAAATTCAATACCAACCATCTTTGAATGATACTCTATCCATGTAAAAAAAAATTAACCCGGTATCTCAAAAATTGCGGAAGTTAGAGATTTGTACAATATATTGCGTACATACATCATACACACATACACACACACACACACACACACATACATACAGACATTTTTTAGGAATATGATTTTTCGACGTTTTGGAACATTCTAAACACATTGGCATAGAAAACTCGAAAAAACATTTTGTCACGAAAACAAAGCTTCCTCTATGAGGAAGCAATATTGTTTACTATTGTCATAAATTATATGTAATGTTTTCTATTAGAGATTTATTTTCAATTTTGTATGACTATCAATCAATGCCAATATTGCAAACAGTGATCGTCGTTTTAAGCATTTATTATATGACATAAAAGTGCAATGAGGTCAGCATGAGAGATAGAAGATTTTACATATAACACTAAATGAATATTCAACAAAGACAAAAAAGTTTAGTTTCCTTGAACAACCACGTGTTGCAAAAAAAGTTGATCGACTATAGCAAAGATCACGGAACAAAGTGCAGCCCTGCAGGAATAATACACGCAAATAAGTAATATCAATAGAATACAATAGAAAATATCATGTGTAACAGAAAAATAAAACAATTATTGTTACATGATAGTTCGTAGAATAAATATTTAAATGCAAATATATTTAATATGTTTATGTCTGCAAATATTTAATAGCTCTTAAATGTATATTACAACATTAGCAAAAAAATTTTGTTTTTTTACTTCAAGCGCAAATCAATAACATATTATATGATTATATAATATTATATGATTATATCCTATTTTGAAGATACTACAGTTAAATACTCTTTTAGATTAAATTTTAAAAGAGAAAATTATCGTATATTTTTGAGAAATTAAGTAAGAAAGTTTTATTTTTCAATTAATTCTAAATAACTAAAAATTATAATAAAATTATATTATATCAAAATTTAATTACGAGATAGAATATATAATGTTTAAAAGATGTTAACAAAAATTCTCTCTGAATACGATTTTTTAAAAATGCACAAATACTATTAATTTCTAAGATGCTATGTATAAATAACTTATTTCTTAGAACATCTGATACATATAAACTAATTAAAAATTTTTTATATATTGTGGAGAAGTGATAATCGTCTTGTAATATATAAATGCTACGCTTAAGTGATACTTGTTGAAACAGTCAATTAAGCATTTATATAGCTGACGCACACAAACGTCATAAATACCGAGGTTTTATACTTATTATGATTTTATTTACAAATAACTCTCGTGGTCAATTGCTGCAATTATAATAATGACATTAAATTAAAAAATATACGTAAATGTTATAAAAATATTATACGTCAAACGAACCGTTTTTTAATCCTTAATTGCGTAACGTGAGATCTTAGATATAGATAAACATAATCCATGTTTCAGCAGAATATATAAATTTTTTCTTGATTATTTTTACACTCGACACGTTGCATAACTCGGTTTAGTTCCAAAAAAATTCGAAGTCTATCACGAAAATAATTATTTGAAGAAATCGTCTAACGTTTCGCCAAAATTAAATTTATTGCACGATGCAATATAAAGACATCTCTTCATACTTTTACATGACCTAAGATCGCTGACACATAATTTGAACGGACGAGTCGTTAATGAGCGATGTTAACCACGAGAACGACCACGTTTAAGAATGCAAAGTTTATTCCTTCGCGTTTATCCATTTTTTTCGCACGACTTTGGGAAATACCGGTGAGAGCAGATCGGTTAATACAAGTATGCGTAGAACTAATTTGTCTTTCGACTACATATATTCGGCGCTCATCAATACTTTGATATATCATGTGACAACGAGAACTATTCATAATGGTCTTGTATTTTTATACGAAATATTCCGTTATTTTTTGCTTCATAACTTTATTAATTATTGTATTTTTTTCAAAAGACATGAACTAATATAACGGTTACATTAAAAGAGAAAGGTAGAATTAATCCAGAAAGTCTCGTTATATCTCCTCGCTTTACATCAAAAAGATAAATAATCTATAATATTTTACGGAGCCAAGATTAAAATACGTATTTACGTCGAACGAAATGCAAAGCAGATTGCTTTTTCAATCACTAAACTCGATTAAAAGTTGCTTATTTTATTAGCGTTTCATAATCTCGATATTTTAAATTTAAAAATAATGTTATAATTTTTCTTATTAATTCTTTGCAAATTAGAGAAAAAATATTAATAAACAAATGCGAGCGTGTTGTAAAATTAAGGCGCATGTCTTGCGAGCATGGAATGTTATATTAACTTTAAATATCACACAACCTGTATCAGAACTCGCATACTTTCTCTCAATTATAAATTGTTCGGCGAATTTTAAGTCAGTTTTCCTTCAGCAGAAAAAAATTGAATAAACATTCTCTTCTTTATAATCTTTCAACATTTGTCTGTGGAATTATTAATCAAATATATAAAGAAAGACTGGTCAAAAAGTCACCGAAATAACAAAATTCACGTCAATTTATTAGCGCGTCTGTCTCGAATTTCTTCGAGAAGTATTTCTTGTACAGTAAATACGATGACACAGGTGTAATCGTCATTGTAAACCGATGACTGAAGCAACTTCCAGGAACATAAGCAATGGTTTCATAAAATGCGTGAAAACACGGTTTAAACGACGTTAGGGTTTTTTTTATCAACTTTACATTTAAAAGAAGTTAAAAAGAATTAAATGGCATTTTTTCTACTAGTCATGGCCAGTAAGTCATAATGATGATCTAACATTAAATTATGATGTTCGATCCAATCTTATATACATAGAATGGTCCCCAAATTACAATGCCGTTCATACACAAAATTCGATAATTGAATTGCTTCAAGGCCTCTAGACAAGTGATTAATGATCACACATATGTGTCTGTTACAAAAATGCGTTTGCATTGAAGCGTTTCGGATATACCTCGCATAAAATTATTTGCCGTTCTTTTTCTCTTTCTCTTTATAACGTATATGTGCGCACTTGGAAAATGATATGCGCTAACACAATCTTACGATCGTAACTTTCTGTCTCGTGTTTGCAAGGGCGATCGCCAACGATACTTTCGGTACTTTTACTCGCCACTGTCTCTTATTGCCTAATGCATCGTTACAACAACATGCGCATTGTTCAACTGGTCCTACCGCTTTCGCAGCTCGACGATAGTAAGCCAGATAATTCCATATCTGCCTCGATTACCTGCGCAAGTTTACATTTATATGGTATATCGTAATTTTTTATTCCCGTCATAATCTGTACTTTGTGTCGCAGATGTAACGAATGCAGTAACGTAAAGGACGTGATAGAATGTACGATACTTTAGTTTACTCGGAGAATTCGTTATTTTAGGTAAAGATACACAGGTAAGAAGAATCGCGCGAGAGTGATTCCACACGAACTATGCAAGAAATTGTAAATTTTGTTTCACTAAATGCGTGCGTACGAAATGTGTGCTTATCCCTGCTTAACATACCGTCACGACTGTCGTGCATAATCGATACTCGCACGGCAAAACGCATGATATTCTGCGATGATAGCGTGCGGTTTAGGCTGATTAAGCTTGTATTTTCGCCTATTAACAATATATAACTACGTGCCGGCATACATATACGTTAGCGTTAATTGCTGATCTCGTTATCTTAATCATAGCTGATAGCCAATAATGACGTTGATGGTGTTTTCAACGCAATTTTCGATCAAGGATCAAGGAACAACATAGTCCCTCATTAAATGTTACGTAGAAAAATGTTAATATCTGTTACTAGAAAGTAAAGCGAGTAGAATTTGTACCATTAGCAAAAGGTTCATTGAACATTCACGAAGAACGCCCGTGGCGTACAAACCCCCTAATCTTCTGAGAATTTTTTCTAAATGAAGGCTTTAACCTTCATCGTAGATCTGTCGAGTGTGTGTGTGTTTTGCCTGGATATATTACACAAGTTCCATTTTTCGTATAAGTCTTTTGTATGAATCAAATATGATTGATATATCTGTGACTCTCTTTATAAAAAGATCTCTATTATTATATAATAATAGACAGTTACACACATATTACAGAAGTTTGCTTTTTGCAAGTATCGTATGTGATTGATACATCTCTCTATGTGATTACAGAGATCTATTATTATATAATAATAGGATATATTTTTTTTATAAAAGTTAGCTTTTCGTACGTATTCTGTATAATGAATGCGCGA